GGGGTTATCAAATGTGAGTCGTGCTGACAAAATGAGTTACTGCTCACAATGCACACATGGAGATATTGGCCAATAATTCGACACTTGGGTCAAATTTCTAGGTTTCTATTGATGCAATATTCATTAAGTATTAAATGCTATTATTTGTTATTTCATACTTACAAATTGCACCAAGTTTGAACTATAAGCATGATGTATCTATTTCTACAGGGCTCAAATCCGAGAAGTAATTCATTTAGTCAGCGCTCTTCACAAATGCAAGCATCTTTTTTGCTTTGATGTTGTATTCCTCTCAGCCAGTGGTAGCTCTGACAGGCAGGGCCGCAGCCCGCTTCCTAATACGGGGTGCCCACTACGGACGGGATCAGCCGATCGAGGGCGATCGCCCGACTTTATCGCCTGAAACTGAAAACAAACACGTTTGTTTTTGAGGCGATTGAGTCGGGCGATCGGGCTGATCGGCCGATCTCATCCGTAGTGGGCACCCCGTATAAAGAATCTAAAATGTGAAGATGGGGACTGAAAACACCTACTTTAAAAAAAAACCCGAATCTCAAAAAGAAATAAAAACTGAGCCGAACAAACAAAACAAAACAAAACCCAACCATGCTGTAAGTGAGCACTGCTTTTATTCCGTTAAGGTGACTGAGCTTTGACTCCGCTTTGACTGAGCTTTGACTCCGCTTTGACTGAGCTTTGACTGAGCTTTGTTGACTGAGCTTTGACTCCGCTAAGATGACTGAGCTTTGACTCCGCTATGACTGAGCTTTGACTGAGCTTTGACTGAGCTTTGACTCCGCTAAAATGACTGAGCTTTGACTCCGCTAAAATGACTGAGCTTTGACTCCGCTAAGATGACTGAGCTTTTACTGCGCTTTGACTGCGCTTTGTCTGCGCTTTGACTCCGCTTTGACTGCGCTTTGACTTAAAACAGCATGCTGGTACTGTTATAGCTACCAACCAATCAGCTTTACCCCAAGTTGTCCAAAGTTTTGGGCATACGGTGTTTTCTCCCAAAGCCGGGACAAGATAGTACATGGTGTGTTATGGTGACCGTAAATTCACCACTCAATGGTGATAGCGACCAACACTGACCTCGATAACAACAGCCGACCTTGGGGAGGAAAGTAGGTCGCTTCTGACAGATTTATCTTTCTTGGTAAGTGTTTTACGGCGATCGCAACTGCATAAGGTCATATTATGAGCGCGCGGACCACATTAACTCTTTGGAGACATAACGGCCACATATGTCCGATTATCTGCACAGAAAAGTCAACATTTTGAACCATCATACATAAATCAGAAAAATAATTTTGCATATTTAACAGTATGCATACTATATTAAGCCTTTTAACGTTTCAGATAAAGAAAATAAAATAGAAAAATATGTTTTACCGATGGAGTTATGCCCCAAAACAGAGCATCTCCAAACGCTGACGAAGGACCAGAAAGCTCGTCCTCAATGAGTTAAACATTTTCAGTTGGTAAGAAATTTTGAGTTTTGCCCGGGTGGCGGCTTAAGCCTACTTTTATCGATTTTGGACCACCAAGGGATCCTTAACGTGCGCAACTTGCATCCGAGATTTTTCGCCCTTGTCCGAGTGGCAAGGTATAGATCTTACCTACCATAAGATCAGGGGTTTGGCTGAAAGACAGCAGTAAGAAGGAGTCAAGGAGTAGCGCTAGAAAGATTGCAGAAAGAGTCAGGAGCCCAGAGGAGGGGGCAAAGGAGGTGAGGGGGTGGGGGCAGAAAGCAGACGACAGAACATCGTTAGAGGTTTTATGAAGAGCTTGCATTTTTAAAACCATCAAAAATGTTATGCTTGCCTTCCCAGCTGCGATGTTGTGGCTTTTTGTTTGGGAGACATTGGTTTTCTATCATGCACTCAACAAACTCTGTTTGTTGTTTTCATTCAGAGCGTTTTCCGATTAGAAAGAAAATCCACGAACATAAGCTAATCATTCTACTCCTTTTCGGGGAGCTGGAACATAACTTTGAAAAGGTCTCACTCTTTCCTCTCTCACTATTCCCCCCCCCCTCTCTCTCTTTCTCCCCTCTCTCTCTTTCTCTCTCTCTCTCTTTCTCTCTCTCTTTCTCTCCATCTCTCTCTCTCTCTTTCTCTCTCTCTCTCTCTCTCTTCTGCCCAACGGAAAGCAGCCTAGACAAGCTCACACTTCACCCCCACCCGCTCTCTCTCTCTCTCTCTCTCTCTCTCTCTCTCTCTCTCTCTCTCTCTCTCACCCAATTTATGAATGAAGTTGTATAGGTTTGGAGCCTCTTGTGACACTATGGGGTTATTATAGAGACGAGATCTCCGAATTTCAAGCCAAAATGGGAAAAAGTAGTTTCATCTTTAAGTCGTAGAAAGTACCTTTTCCTGAGAACACAACGTGCAACTGAGATGACCCTTAGAACTATACATTACTTTCACCAGCACCTTCCACATAATATTCCTATAATTTAAAAGCCGTGTTTGTTTTCTATATTGCAGTTCCTGCTCTGCCCTATCTTGATCGTTTGAGCGAGCCAGCATTCCAAGAGATTTTCCCTGAGACGATTGAGATCGTGGACATCAGTGACCTAGAGATTTTTTCTGGGACCATCGAGACTGTGGACATCAGTGACCCAAAGACTATCGCTGTCTTTGAAAACTTTGGATTGTTCGTTAACCTGGTATTTTAAATCGGGTGCCGCTGTTCAAAGTGCGAGGACAGACGACAGACGGAACTTGCAGACAGCTCAGGTGGGTCGAGTAATTGCGTGCAGAAACTGTACAGTAGTTCCTGACGGACCAATCTACAGGTCTCTTTCAAAACATGTCTGCCTTCAACTTCCGCACGTCGAGTGCGCAATTGTTCACGGGTCGCAATCAATCGTCGAGCAGCGGAGAAACAGTGGAGACTCACTTAGACTCAGACGAGGAGGAGTCTGTGAGGTCTGATGTATACCAAGGAAACTCGGGCTATCCCTTCCCTCCGCCCGCCGCCTACCCGCTCATACCAGCAGAGGCGCCCAGGGCCCTGGCGACAACCCCGAACTTCTTCCTACCTAACGGCTTCGGCCCCCGGGATAACGACGGTGCAAGAAGAGACAAGAGACAATCTGGCATCCGCCCTCATCTGGAACCAGCGCCCCCTATCCCCTTTTCGGAACCGCCTCGGAGAAGCACCCGTCCGTCTGTCTCATCTACGCAGGAATCTGCCGCTGTCCGGAAGGGGAGGAATGAGGGGGGTTACCAGGAGTCACATACGGTGGCCGCCGAGGTCCGCGACCTGTACGGGAGGCTGAAGAAGCACGTGTCCCGAAGTCGCTGTCCAAAGGGCGCGGGGCAGTTCACCCTCTCCGCCTTCTCTCTGTTCCTCAGCCTTCTGGCCATTTCTCTGGTTGTGATGTTACTAATTGGAGTCCTGTCCATAGGTAAGTACTCATGTACTCATTAGCTCTGCTTTTCTCGTTTCATTTAATGACCATCATCATGTCGATGTGCTTGTCTTTACTTAAACAAACAGACACGCGCACTCGCGCTCATAGACCTTATGCAGTTGCGAGCGCCGTAAAACCCTCTACTATAATAATAAAACAGAAACGCACACTCGCGCTCATATGACCTTATTGCACACTGGCAATTGGATTTCTCCGTACAATTTTTGTCTTTGCAGAAATGCCCAACTCGCGCAGTTATTGCGTCCCAGGTGAGGATCTGTTCAATATGGAAGACAACCTAGCGCTCTCTGTTGGAATGACCCTGGTCAAGCAGGAAGGAAAACTGATGTATTGCGCGGATAACGATGAGCAGATGACAGCTTTACTGCTAGCAGTGAGTATAATAGTAGTGAACAGGGAAGAGTTGTATGAACCGTGTGTGTGTGCGTGTGTGTGTGTTTTGTGTGTGTGTGTGTGTGTGTGTGTGTGTGTGTGTGTGTGTGTGTGTGTGTTTGGTGTGTGTGTGTGTGTGGGTGTGTGTGTGTGCTGACTTTACAGCAAACAGTGAGTATAATAATGGTGTACAGGGAAGAGTTGAATGAACCGTGTGTGTGTGTGCGTGTGTGTGTTTGGTGTGTGTGTGTGTGTGTGTGTGTGT